GTCATCTGTTCCTGTGTGCTCAGATCAGATATGTCCCTCTCCTGGAGCTGCGGATTCAGTGCTGTCTTTGAAATAAATTCTTCTGCGGGGAAGGGCAGGCATCCACTTAATACTTGGGACTGGGGCCAGCCCCCCAGACCTCTCCCCTGGTTCTTATAGGGATTTCTTGAGGGGGCCTTAGAGGACGGTGACAAGAAGGAGTTGGGGGGTTTGGGGCCCTTGCTTCTGCCTCAAACCTGAGCCCTTCTCTAATCCACGTTTTGTTTTGTTTATTAGTTGAAAGCTTTTAATAAGAATTTGCTTTGAATAATGGGGATTGGAATCTAGAAAAGAATGTAAAAATCACAAATCTAGTCCAATTGTTTGGAAATAACTTCTTCCAGTGTCACCCACTGAAGAACTATTCATCAGGACCGGACGTTAACCCAGTGCTCCAGGATGTGAACGCAACATGCCGGCATGGAGTGGGGAACCAGTGGAGAGGCCTGAGGGGCCAGCCCCAATCCCAACTACATGGGCAGCTGCCCCTCCCCCAAGAAGAATTTATTTCAGAGGACAGCACTGAAGCTGCAGCTCAGGGAGAGGGACATGTCTGATCAGAGCACATGGGAGCAAATGAAGGTGGAGGAAGAGAGAGTGGAGCACATCCTGGCCCACCAACCCTTGGGGAGGATATACGTCCCTCACTGACCCATAACCCTATGGGGACAGCACTGGAGACACCGTGTGGGAATGCCGCCTGATCTGATTCCACCACACAGAGGCAAAACACTGGGGGCATGGAACAGAACAGCAAGGGAACAGCACAATGAAGTTCCCAGGGAATACCAAAAATAGACATTGGGGCCAGGGCTTGGCATCCCATTGGACTTGACCGGAAAACACTCTTAACAGCCAACAAATAGTCCTTGAACTAACTACAAGCTTTTCTTTCTTTCTTGTTGTGTTTTGTTTTGTTTTGTTTTTTTGTCATTGACTTGTTTGTTGCTGTTTTGTTTTATTTTGTTGCTTGGTTTTGCTCTGTCTTGTTTTTGTGCATGTTATTGTCTCTGCAGGTCTGTCTAAATAAGATAGGCTGGATGAACAATCTG